GTAATCGAGGATAGATGTAGATGTCTATAGGCCACAGCAACCACTTACCATCAGGTGGACTGTGTGCTCGTTTGTCACCCTAATTCTATAAAACAAAAACAAAACAAATAAATATTTGAAGAAAAAAAAATGTCAGCCCAAGTGTCGTCAGGTAATGTTGTCGTAGAAGTAATTTAAAGAAAGAAATTTATTTGTAGCATTCTTAACCCTTTCGCTGTCCCGTGCACTACATATAGGTCATTACTATTGTCTTACTATTATGTCTGAAAACCGGACAGCGAAAGTGTTAATATCATTGGGGAGCATGTTGCAAAGATGTATAGCTTGTATCTTAAAAGAGGACCTGAAAAAATTAGACCTATGCTGTGGAAACCTTATCCTCGGACAGTTTGGTCGTCGTGGTGTTCGGTCGTCGTCAATCGAATGAAGAAAATGAAAAATATCCTTAAGATAAGTAGGCGACCTTGGATCGTTTAAAACTGAATAAAGTACAAGTAAAATTCTAGAGCATCGCCTTTGACGTATAGGTAGTAAATGGCTACCTATACGTCAAAGGCGATGCTTTGATATTTGATATTATCTTCATGTATTCTGTATTGCTCGTTCATAAGGAGTTGCTTAGTAATTATAAATAGTAGAAATTGTTACAGTAACATTAAAACTTAAATGTACTTGGGTAAATAAACTAAATTTAATTTCTACAATATACTTTTTCATGTTTTTTTTTTAAATACTATTAAACGAATTTTGGACAAATTATAATGAATTATAGGAATTAAAATATGAATTATATGTAAAAGGCTCACCTGTTAGATGTTCTTTTTTAGAGATACTTATATTTGTAAATTTAATACAGTGATAGAAACGACGATGGTAGAATGGAAATGATATTCTCAGTTTTGGAAATGATATAACATGACTGGTAATGTTTTGTTGTAACAAACAGATATTTATAGATCAAGTATCCAAGTTGATTCAAATGTTATCTAAGGATTTAATAAATCAGAATTCAGGGTTTATAAATAAAATATCATTTCAATCAACATAAACTTTACTTCTTGTATAATAATTCAATAATTCTTTGGTAAGATCAGTCATAGAAACGCGAAAAGCGAAAAGAGCATCAAATCAACCTACGTTTTAAATTATTAATACCTATTTATGTATTTAGATCAAAATAAAACTTTTATGTTTGACAAAAAAACAATATTATTTGGAGTACTAGAAATAATACTAATATTCGGGGATGTATTTGTTATATTAGTAAGAATACGGCGAGATTTGTACGTCCTAACAAGAGGTGCTACATATTCAGGGGTATTTGCGTCTCAAGAGAGTTCTTCATACCCAAATATTAAATGGCGTTCTTCTTCCATTTCATAGTTGTGGACTTTCGAAAATCCTAAATGTTTATTGTGAACACAAATATATTCACAGTCAAAACAGTTGGCTTTTCTGAACACGAGATTAAATAAACCTTGTTTCCATAATACTTGATGAACATTTAACGTGCCCTGGAATGGTTTCAAGTTTTTGGGAAGTAGAACTTCTTTGGCTAAAACCTCATCTTCATTGACAGTCATTATGGTAATATTTTCAATGTTAAAGCGCCCCCTTGTAACTATTTTTGGTATTATTTCGATATTTATCGTTAAATGTATGATTTGTCGTCGGGTTGGAAATGACGTTAGGTGCGTGTTTTGTTAATTTTCCACAAACACGTCAACTTCCCGGACAAAAAAATATTGGAGCCTTTAAATATAATATAAAAGAAAACATTTACACTTTTTCTAAATGTGTTTAGTTTATTTACCCACTTACTTAAAAATATATAAAAATTAAATCTATGAAAAAATAATAGAGAATGTTTCAAAGTATAAAAAATTAGGAATAGATACAATATAAAATATTTTTAATATTACGAATCTTATAATTGGTCTGTGTAATAAATAAGTTGTTGAAACTAAATTAAAAAAAAAGAGAATTGAAGCTTAGTTCGTTCCGTTGAATTACTTTATTTTATATTTTACAGCGTAACGTACTTAATATTTTGTACTAGGAAATTGTTTAAATACCGATTCACTTTCTACTGATCTAGTTCTTTAGTACAATTAACAAGGTTCTCATGGTCGTTACCCATGAGTAACCATAATGAACAGTCACCTACATAACTGTTTGACGACAACAATAAGGTTTTTTAGATGCATTAAATTTCACCACTTTCTTATCGTCAGCAACGATGTTGTAGTTCCACGTCACAGTTATTTGATTGATCAGTGCATAAAAATTTGTGGTATGCCGTTATCATTTTTACCCGACCTCAAAAAAGAAGGAGGTTCTCTTTGGATTCGAAATGGAAAAAAGTAAAAACTTTTGTATTCAGTATAGATTATAAATAATACTTATTGAAAGCAATTCTTGTTTAATTTACCACTGAAATTGCTTGGTACTAATCACGTGATTCCCAGTGGTTATTATCATCCATAAACTCCTTAATATTATAATAACACTACTTTAGGAGTGGTTCCATATACATTTGAGAAAAAAATTCCATCCCTAAGGGTTTAAAAATGGGGATGATGATTTTAATGTATTTCAACGAATATAAAAGCCGGCCAAGTGCGAAGCGGATGATTTCAACATAATAGCTTCGGAAGTCCGGGCTTTAATTTTTCACTTTCTTCACCACCATACAGTATTCGATATACCGACCTTAGCGCCAACTTCAGAAACTATTTTGTCGAAATTACTTTATTTTATTTCTTTCTTTACAAGTCGGCTTGGAAATAAAGAAATAAAGTAAAATAATGTCGACACCATAAGATAAAAGTTAAATTTTAATTTAAAAGTTTAATTTTTGACGGTAAAATTTTGCTAAAGCAGTGCTGGCCGCAGCGTTTTCGTCTAGTGGCGTCTCACGTCTTATTATACTTTTACCTATATCTACATAATATATTATTTTGGATACCATTTTAGATTCGTTTCTTCATCTCAATATCATAGTTATAACGGATCGATAAGCCAAAGTTAAAAGCAGGTCATATAGCTCGAACAACCGACGGCACCCAACGAGAAGTGGAGGGACATGAAAGAAATTAATGGACGCAGGTAGCTCAGGATCGTGTTTTGTTGCATTCCGTGATAGTAGCTTAGTATGCTTATAATAAATAGTAAGACACGCCGATGAATACCCGTTGTAATAATATTTCCATTTATAAATGTATTTTTATAAAAGTGGAAGTATTTTTTAACTATTATGAAATTTTTCGAATACAGATAATATTTTATATTATTTCTTTATTCTTTTTGGAGAAACTCCACAAACTAATTTTATTCGTTCCGTAACCGCAAAATAATTTTAAAATGAATTTTTTGCCACAGTGGCATAAGAGAAACTTAGGTTCTTAGGAGTTGACAGAACGAAAATTAGCCAGGAAATAAGCAGCAGCATCCTCCTGATAACTTTTTAAAATAAAAGAACTGCAGTTGCCAAGACGCCTTGGGTTTTTTAAAGAGTAGAAACTCTCTGACAACAATATAAAAACAACCCCCAGTTCCCCGTTACTACGCTATTCTTGGTTGAGGATTGACTAGAAGATCCTGAAACTGAAAGAAGAGATGGACAAGTCGAGCAGGGCTACTATAAAATAGTCAGAGCTCTGAGAACAGGGGCAAGACGCAATAATCCTCAAATTCGTCAACTTATTCTATCACCGGTTCACAAGATGTGTGTCGACCAAAGTTGCGTACCGTATACTCAGAGTAACTAAACAGTATTCGCTTACTCATTTCATGGAGAATGAGGAATTTTTATGATAAACTCTTCCTGCCAGAAGCGTCTTCACAGAAAGTGGACCTTGTCCTGCTACTACGATTGGACAAAAATGAGATTGATTTCATTATGACAGCCAGAAGGCAACTGCTAACTGATGTCTCAGTGATCGCAAGGGTTAAAAATGGCAGCGATCAACGAATGATGGTGGCAGGTCGCGTCTAATGAAATCAATACTCCGTCCACCTTGTGCGCTAATCCAAAGCCCCAAAAACTTGCTAAACTGTTTGTACAGTAAAACTATGATAGCTATCTGAGTACAGAAACAGAGTATAAATTATCCAGCTGCAGTAAGTTCGCTTCTAGAAGTGCACCAGCAAAAAAATTAACTATCAATGAAGATGCACGTACACAACTACAATTCAAGATATCGCGAAAGATTAGTTGTTCCAAGAACCAGATTAGTCAAAGCGTACAAGCAAGGTTTTCCATTCAAAATCAAAATATACAATAAATTGCCTTTAGAAATAACAAGACTTCCATTAAAAGCGTTTCGACAAGTGACAAAAACGTTCGTTTTGAATCACGCTTTCTATAATATAGAAGAATATATGAAATGTTCATTTTCTGACTTGCGTGACATGTAAAATAATGTAAATGTAAATGTAGATGTATATTAATTTGTGATTTTAATAATTTAGCGTAATCTTAAATCATTTGAATTGTAATTTTGACGTACCAATGTTATGTAATGTAATGAAATGGCCAATAAATAAATTAAAAAAAATTAAATAAAAAAGTAAGGTGTGAGACAGAGACACGTTATCTCCCCGAATATTTTCTTCGCTTCATTAGAAGACGGTTTCAAGCTACATTACGGGACTGGAAAGAATACGGTATCAACATCAATAACGATTATGTCATCATCATCATTACACCGTATCACAAGTCCATTGCTGAACGTAGGCCTCCCCCAAGATATGCCACAAAGCACGGTGCTAAGCCATCTGCATCCATCGAATTTCTCCATTTCTACCAGGCCCGTGAGGGCCTCCATCTAATGGAGGCCTCCCATTAGATGGAGTGATCCATCTAATGGGAGGGCGCCCTACACTTCGCTTACCGGTGCGAGGCTGCCACTCATAAAATATATAATCAATAAAAACAATTCCCTGTAGTCTACGCGTATTTTATTTTATTTTTCATAAACACGTTTCTATTGTTGCAGGTCGTGGAAAGAAGCAAAAAAAGTTAATGCAAAAGATACTGCCAATGTTCATTATACCATTCCTCATCCAATCGACGATAGTGCCGTTCTTTCTGAGTATTCTTAAATTCATGTTACTCAAGTCACTAATGGTTGGAAAGTTAGCGTTGGCCCTTATTGTGTTAAACGCTTTTAAGAATAGTAATTCGTTCAAAGGAAGGCACGATGCCGAAATAGCGAATGTACATTATGGTTACCATGGCAATGGCATGGAAGAATATGGTGCATATATTAATTAATTTGTAAATTGCATTCTAAGTCATTTTCGTCTAATAATATTTATTTTATTATCTCAAGCTTAGTTCAAGATTTTTGTAACGTATCTTATTGTATCCGTGTATGTTCATAGATAAACCGACATAAATTAGGTATACGTTATTTAGACTAAGTAATACCTTAAGCTTACATTAAATTTAAACTAAGCTGATTTAAGATCACTCATTTTGTGCATGACCATAAAGGTCGAATGTAATCTCAAATCGCCTTTAGAAAGTTTTTTCGTTGTCTGAAATCTACACCGACATTGCCAGTAATAATTTATTCAATAATTTCTAAGTTGCTAATATTATTTAAAAGATTATATCACACAATAATGTATTATTAATATATTTATTTGTCTGTGACGTAAGAATTTATTGCATTTAAACATTTTTTTATTTAAATGGACTATAACACTGGTAAAGCTAATAACATTATCAAATTTCCCGTTAACAACACCAAGGTGGTTTAAAATGCCTGTGCCAGGACATATCGATCGGTGCTCTCGACTGTTAGTTTTCTTTGTTTAACTTCTCTTGACAACATCCACTCAATGTCTGTTTGTTTGGACTTGGCTGTTTGTTTGATAGTAGCCCACTTATGATAAGTTTTGTTCTATTAGTTATAGTGTTATAAAATATTTACCATAATTTATTTATTTAAAAGCTTGTGATGATGCATGTAATTACGGTAAGATTTATGAATGGTCTAAGTATTAATCAAATAGTATTTTGTAAATAATGAAATACCAATGATTAGGTATATTTGAAATAAAGCATATAACATATTAATGAATATTTTAAATGTGTAGTATGTAATGGATAATTTATTGTCTAATCTAATTCAACAGATAATATTAGTAGCGTACTATTAATTTTTTATGTTAAGTTTATTTAGGTTTTATATTAATAATAAAATGTTATGTTTTTCTGTTAACAAGAAATATTTTAATTTGTTTTATTTTCAAATCTCTTTTTCCATCGTCCTGTATGTCAGCCATAAATTCCTTAACAAGAAAGTCTCCTGTCGCAGTCTTCATCAACCAGTAAAAATCCAATGGATCTCACCTATTGAAGGGAGGACACCTCGATACTATCATATTGGCACTGCTGATAGGACTGCAGCAATACCAAAATTTCGCACCTCACATTATACCTTAGTCTTTTGTATATATTGCCGAACGGTATATATATCAGTGAACGCAAATCAAACAGAGACATTCCAAGCTTCAAAAAATATCACGCAAATTGAGCTGCAGTAGGTGTGGCTCACCACTTGCGATGCGAATGATCTTACTTCGAAAACCGCAATTCTATCATAATCAGTGGCGGATTATCCTTAAGGAAAACTAGGGGCGCAAGTTTAGAAAGAGGCTCACGCGGAAGATTTTAAAGGAAAGAAATTAAGAATGTACCTATTTGCATAAAATAAAAAAATAATTAATAGACGTGTTGAAGACGTGCCTCCAATGCGCGCCCCGTTTTCTTGATTACTCCTCCATCGCTCTTACTCTCTCATCACATTTTTCATTCACGCCCACATGTTACGTGTCCTAAATATAATGCAACTAAACTATACTCAATGGACAAATTTAGAGGAATGCAATTAAAGGTTCAATTTTTCTTGTTGTAATTATCGTACGTACTGGCCAAAACATTAGTAAATGCTATTAAAAAAAAATAAAGTTTTCGAAAATTTTTTTGCGAATTTTGTTTATTTTTATGTATATAATTATTACGTAATATTGCATTCTTCCATACTGCGATAAATTTTGTCAACTTTATAATTTGAGTTTAAATTTAGTTTTTGTTAATTTTTGCTTTGACTGCCTTGTTTATCGTGTTAATTGTGAATTGTTATTATAAATAAACTTAGAATGCTAGATATAAATGCAACTCAAGTTACTAGTGCTGTTACTTTAATCGAAACTAGGCACTACTGCACACCTGTGGCCCAAACATTACGAGTATCAAAATCTTTAGTACCTACACCGAATTACCTAGAGACATCCGCAGACCGGACAGTATACGAGAGAGGGAAATAGGGACGTAAACGGAAAACTGTGGCCAGAGATGACGGATTCATCGTTACCAGTATGCTTAGAAACTGGACCATAACTTCTTCTTAAGTAAGATCCAAGGAGTTCGAGGGGTTACAGTAAGCACAAAAACTGCAATAAAAATACTTAAATCGGCCGGAATAAATTCATACTTGCCTGCCAGAGGCCACTTTTCTTGCCACATGTTATCGAGTAGCTCAAACTAATTTTTAATTACATAATTTACGCAATCACAAAAATTGGAGTTACGAAACTTGGAGTCAAGTTCTATTCACGGAATGAGTCCAAATTTTGTCTGAAGTCAGATGATAGAATTATTAAAGTGTAGAAACGCCTGGGAGGGGTGCGCTCAGTGCAACATCATTGGAAAAGGGGTATATTATGGTGGAGGGTCAGTAACGGTATGGGGAGGTATTTTTATGGAATTCCACGTCATTGAGAATGGGTCACTAACAGTGGCACAACATGTGTCTAAGACTTTGAAAGAAATCGTAGTACCATTTGCCCCTTTAATAGGAGATGTTATTGCACGCCCCCATACTGCGGACGTAGTTATCGAATACCTTCAAGGCGTTGAAAATAATGCTATGGGGTTGCCAGCACGCTCGCCCGTGTTAAACCTATAGAGTAAGTATGGGATAACCTAGGAAGGAAAATTAAGAAAAGAAATCCTGCCCTAGCTAATATGAGAGTCTTATCTTAATAACGCATTACACGAAAAATTTAACGCAATCGCTCAATTTTTATTTATTAACTTATTTTCTATTTATACTATTTAATCAAAGAGACTGGAAGCTTTTCGAAGAGCTACGGGGAGCAATACTTAGTACTGATTATAGTCCACTTTATAGACTTTCCTAATTATTTATAAAAAAAATGGTTGACCCTGCAGTAGGCCACCTCTGCAACTTCCCGCTAATTTCAAATGCAAAGCGCTTCAAATCTCACCTGTTACCACGTTTTTGATCTTAGAGCTTTTTTCAGAATCTACCCTGCTGATTCGATCTAAATTCATGGAAAATCTAAGTTAAGCGAGGTCTTTTCAGATGCTGCAAACCGTTTTTCGATCACACTCCCTTACAAAATTATGAGATGTTTACTTACATACACACACATACATACACACATACACAAACACACGCGCGCGCTTGCGCTCGCGCACACGCACACGCACACGGGCACGCGCGCGCCCTTGCACACGCACACGCACGCGCACACACACACACACACGCGCGCGCGCGCCCGCACGCGCACACACACACACACACACGCGCGCACGCACGCACGAACTCACGAACGCATGCACGCACGGCCGCACGCAAGCACGCACGCACGCACGCACGCGCACGCACACGGAAAATCGCACGCGCGCGTCTTTTCCCACGCGCACGCACACGCACTCGCAAACGCACACGCACACGCACACGCACACGCGCACGCACACGCGCACACACACGCACACGCACACGCACACGCACACGCACACGCACACGCACACGCGCACGCACACACACACACTCACACACGCACGCACGCACGAACGCACGCTCGTACGCGCACACACACACACACACACAAATGCGCTGGCACGCACGCATGCACGCACGCACGCACGCACGCACGCACGAACGTACGCACACACGCAGGCATGTACGCAAGCACACATACTCATTTATACAGACATACGGATATGATCTCAAAAATAGCTAGAATACCTTCGTAGGACCTCAAAACGTGAAGATGAGAACTCTATTCTCGAAAACGGATAATTTCCCGATTTTTGGAAAATCATTAAATTTCGAGGCGGGAAGTTAAAAAGGTTAAGTACAAAAATGTTTTCGTCCTGTAACATTTTGCCTTTTTTCTTTATTTGGTTAATTTCTGCCTTTTGATCGTTTGTTTTTTCTACGTTTGCAATTTTAAATTAACGAATAATAAGCAAAATCCAAATTAATAAACTTAACTCTAACAAATACCGATGATATTTTGTTTTATACACACTTTTTATCGTTGCTCTAAATTTATCCATGAGTGTATATTATCAATAACAATATAGTTTATTTGCAAAATCAGTAGATATCATTTATGGCCGCCAGAGGGGCTACGATGAGATGCTAGCCAAGGGCGTCGTCGATATTTTTCCGCCTTTGATCATAATACTAATCATTATATATAAAAATTACGTGTCACGTTGTTTGTCCGCGATGAACTCCTAAATTATTGAACTGATTTCAATGAAATTTTGCACACTGTGCAGTTTGGTCCAACTTGAGAGATACGATAGTTTTATCCTGATAAGTTACACTCAATATTTTTTTATTACGAATTTAAGCATTTTTTATATGAAGGGTCATCGAAAAGGGCAGAACAACGTCTGCCTGGCCAGCTAGTAAAATATAATTTACATTGCACCACATTACATGAAATGTCTGTGGCGACGAGTGACGAGCACAATGATGTCATAATAATAAACGTTGTAAGAAATTTATATGATATATGGCATTCGAAACTATCGGAAAATGAGGTCAAGTTGTGACTGTGGCTCCTGATCATCATCATCATCATCATCATTACAGCCTTTCATAAGTCCACTGCTGAACATAGGCCTCCCTCAAGGAATGCCACTAAGCACGGGCCTGAGCCACCAGACACGTCATGACACACACAACCACTGCAAGACTTCAAGATACTGTAACCTCCTTTTACGTAGATCGGACCAAAAATTAATACTCAAATACTGAATGACATCGGGACGTCAAATACCTCAGTCCTCGGGAATTAAAAAGTTAAATTAAACACGAAAAAATCCGTAAACTTTAGTTTCATTTAAAAATGAATTAATTATGGCTGCCCAATGCCAGGTAAACATAATTCATGTTTTATTGGGGAAAAATGAACTTTTTATAATCTGATTATAAATAA